TTAGATTAAACAATCTAATGCACCAAAATGAGTTAATGAGTTCTTAGGCTGAAGAACCAGTGTATGTGTTTCGTATACTCCTTTGAGTTCGTATGATAAGATATGTTGGAATGGATACTTAGAAATATCCTTAAAAAGGGAGCTCGTTTTTTCAAATATAAATAGGCTTCCCTGAGTAGGAAGCTATTCGACATCTTTTAGTGAAAAGGTACAAAGAACAAACCTGGATCGACTACTGGTAATATTTCTTAAGATGTTTCACATTCTATTAGTGATCTAGAATGTGGTAATATTTCCTAAGATGTTTCGCATTCCAAGAGTGAGTTAGAGTGCGCCCATCCTCGGTCCGCAACTCACAGTTTCTAGGTCTGACCACTATTTTGACTAGGTATAGTCCTTTCCAATTTGGTTCCAACTTTCTACGTCATTAACATAGTTGTTAAATTGAGATTCATATAATGAATCGGAATTCTAAATTTTAGATTCGTGAATTATAAGTTTCGACTTAAATTTGAACAAAAATAAAAAATAATATCTATATATTTAAAATAGGCAAGAATGCTCAAATTTAGAGTGGTTCATTGTGCTGAAAAGCTGTAGTAGTTCGTTGTAATGAAGACTCTTATTCCTTGATTTGTGCATTGCTTGAGGAAGAAGCCGAGTACAAGAGGGTTTCTCTNCACGTCATTAACATAGTTGTTAAATTGAGATTCATATAATGAATCGGAATTCTAAATTTGAGAATCGTGAATCATAAGTTTCGACTTAAATTTGAATAAAAAAAAAATAATATCTATATATTTAAAATAGGCAAGAATGCTCAAATTTAGAGTGGTTCATCGTGCTGAAAAGCTGTAGTAGTTCGTTGTAATGAAGATTTTTATTCCTTGATTTGTGCATTGCTTGAGGAAGAAGCCGAGTACAAGAGGGTTTCTCTTGCTTAGGGCAGTGTCTAGGCTTTCCCTTTGTTACAGTAATCATTGCTTTTATAACTGATTTGTTAGAGAATATTTGGCTATTAGGAGGCCTAGCCTAAGGTATGATGTGACCTTCTATTATGTGTATGATTTTGGGTGATTTGTAAAACAAAATAAGGATAGAATTGAGGGAGAAAACCCGCTTCGGGGGGGAGGGGTGGTGGAAATCTCCGATGGTTCAATTTGAGAAGAACCTAATCTTCAAAACTTCACAAGAAAGTTTATCATAATATTCAACATTCCATTTTCATTGANGGTATGATGTGACCTTCTATTACGTGTATGATTTTGGGTGATTTGTAAAATAAAATAAGGATAGAATTGAGGGAGAAAACTCGCTTCGGGGGGGGAGGGGTGGTGGAAATCTCCGATGGTTCAATTTGAGAAGAACCTAATCTTCAAAACTTCACAAGAAAGTTTATCATAATATTCAACATTCCATTTTCATTGATCCAAGAGCCTTTAAATACAAAGATGACCACAATGCTCATCAAGATGCTTGCTCAAGAAATGTCTTAGTTTTGATCCTCTAGCTTCAAATCTAGACTAACATTTCATGTATTGATCCGGATATCGTCCCGCCCTCCCTTTCTTCCCTTTTCAGGAGTTTCATCGGATCTCAGTCAAGTCCAATCCAGTTAGCAGTGGGAAGCGTCCTAGAGCAGACTAAGCCATCCAAGCCCTGCCCAGGCCAAGATTGACAATTGCCCTCATTTATTTGCACGACCCTATTCTCCCTTTAGGAGTGTCATGATTTCTTCTTTTGAAGGATGGACTTCTCGTGGTCGATTGAGCAATGAAATAAGATTGGTGGACTTTACCTCTTTAGGCATTTAGTAGGTTTCTTGTGCTCTCCATGGGTCTTATCGCAGGTATCTGTTTCTGGATCTCTACTTTATGGAAACAATATTATCTCAGGTGTCATTATTCCTACTTCTGCAGTTATCGGTTTTCACTTTTACCCAATCTGAGAAGCGGCATCCGTTGATGAATGGTTATACAATGGTGGTCTTTTTATTGTCTGAATATTCAGGAGCTAAGACCATTCCAATGCCCCCTTTCGCCATGCATAAACTGAACCAACAATTAAAATAAGCACAAAAATTAAAGCTTCTATAAATACAGATACGCCCAATACATCAGAACTCATTGCCCATGGATAAAGAAAAACTGTGCATCAAGCTGTTCGCAACTTGATCCTCTTCCCTAGGGATCCTAGATGAGGGAACCCTAGGAGAGCTGCCGACCCGAACTATCGTCCATGTACGATCCACACTAGATTNAGAACTCATTGCCCATGGATAAAAAAAAACTGTGCATCAAGCTGTTCGCAAAGATCAACTTGATCCTCTTCCCTAGGGATCCTAGATGAGGGAACCCTAGGAGAGCTGCCGACCCGAACTATCGTCCATGTACGATCCACACTAGATTTGGACCAACTGGCCATCCTACCCATTAGATCTTTTTGAAGAAGGTTCTGTTACAAATATGTTTACTTCAATTGTGGGTAATGTATTTGGGTTCAAAGCCCTGCGTGCTATACGTCTGGAAGATAGAAGTATGCTATGCTAATGTGCCTCGGATGATCCACATCTTAGGGTCAGGCGCAAATGACACATTGAACTATCCATGTGGCTGAGAGCCCTCACAGCCCAAGCACAACAACGCAATTATCAGGGGCGCACTCTATCATTGAACTAATAGGCCGTCGTGCGAGCCTCCCACTNCTGTTACAAATATGTTTACTTCAATTGTGGGTAATGTATTTGGGTTCAAAGCCCTGCGTGTTATACGTCTGGAAGATAGAAGTATGCTATGCTAATGTGCCTCGGATGATCCACATCTTAGGGTCAGGCGCAAATGACACATTGAACTATCCATGTGGCTGAGAGCCCTCACAGCCCAAGCACAACGACACAATTATCAGGGGCGCACTCTATCATTGAACTAATAGGCCGTCGTGCGAGCCTCCCACTGGGGGCCCGTTATGCCAAAAGTGAGAGAAATCCCATCCCTCTCTTTCCTTTTTTTGCCCTCATGTTGCCACACGGTGGGACATGGGGACTAAAAAAAGGGGATTCAGTCAACTTGTTCCGATCTAGGATAATAAGCTCATGAGCTTGGTCTTACTTCACCGTCGAGAAACGAAAGAAGACTTCNAAAAAGGGGATTCAGTCAACTTGTTCCGATCTAGGATAATAAGCTCATGAGTTTGGTCTTACTTCACCGTCAAGAAACGAAAGAAGACTTCCATCTCTAAGTTTCATTCAGACGTAGCTCCTTTCTTTTTGGGTGTGCATCATTGTCAAACCAAAATACCCAACAAGCATTAGTTCTCNTTCCATCTCTAAGTTTCATTCAGACGTAGCTCTTTTCTTTTTGGGTGTGCATCATTGTCAAACCAAAATACCCAACAAGCATTAGTTCTCCCTGAAAAGGAGGTGATCCAGCCGCACCTTCCAGTACGACTACCTTGTTACGACTTCACTCTAGTCACTAGCCCTACCTTCGGCATCCCCTTCCTTGCGGTTAAGGTGACAACTTCGGGCATGACCAGCTCCCATTGTGTGACAGGCGGTGTGTACAAGGCCTGAGAACGAATTCATCGCCATATGGCTGACCGGCAATTACTAGCGATTCTGGCTTCATGCTGCTGAGTTGTAGCCAGCAATCCGAATTGTGGATAGGTTTTTGGAGTTAGCTCACCTTTGTGGGATTGTGACCCTTTGTCCCGGCCATTGTAGCACGTGTGTTGCCCAGGGCATAAGGGGCATGATGACTTGACGTTATCCCACTTTCCTCTGGCTTATCACAAGCAGTTTGTTTAGGGTTCCAAACTCAAGGGGCTTGCTTTCTTGGGAAAGGGGTCAGATTTTGTCATCCTGGGTTTCTCTAAAGCATTTTGTGGTGGTGTGCCTTTTTCGAGGTCGAGTTGCCCTTTTTCTTCTCCATTGTGATGGAAGGCAGACTATTGTCGTGCCATCTTGTCCCTCTAATGCTGATGTCATCACTTTCGAGGGAATGGATTTTGTGATCTGCAGGAGAGGTGTCCTTGCCATGTCGTGTTGTGCATTGAATGTTGTGATGCCACCTGTCAACGGAGGGACATCATATTATATGGGATACTTCATTCACTAAATCCTCTAGTATTTGATGTTTTTAATTTTCATTGAAAAATGTCGCTCCTCAGTGCAATCTCTCTCCCATGTTTTTTGGCCACAAGAATAAATGGAAAAGCATTATCTCCATCATATTTACTACAAAGAAATTTGGCTAGACACATTTCATGTTTTCATCTTGATAGCCTCTTACATCTACTCAAACCTGTTTGCATGAGTATTTGGTATGTTAAACAGAAAATCTCTCTGGATGTTTAGAAGCTACTATGTTATAGAAGTGGTATCATTATACGACGGTGTTTATAATCTCTCATTTTTTCTCCCTATGGTTCGAAGTTAGAAATTCTCCTAATTCAGTTTTTTAAATAGTTAATGCCTCTTATTACCGAACAATTTACCCTTTTTTTTTAACTCCACAAGAAATTATTTCGAACCAGGAAAATATATGTTCAGCAATTGCTAATGTTAGGGCTTACTCACTTAACCTAAAAAAAAATAAAATGTTTAGGGCTTACTCTGAAAGTCTGAATTCCCCAGTAAGCAATTTGTGCTCCAACTAGCACAATGAGCAGGGGTATTTCCAAAGTAGAAGTAAGAAAGGGGGCAATCAGCATTCCCTAGGAAGTATTATAAGCAAAGCTACAGGAATACAATAAAGTGTTTAGAAGTCAGGCAGGAATTGAAGCATATAAATTTTAGGATAGACAATTACTTTTACAATGCACGATGGGTTGGTGAATCAATGCAGACAATGAATAATCTAATGATAATACTGATTATTGCTAATATAAAAAGAAAATAGGCTCCATTTATCTTAGAAGCTTGATTCTGGAAAGTGGATGAATGTTGTGTTTGAAGCAGAACATTTGTATATATAAGGCATTAGTAGTATTGAGAAAGCTGGATGGTAAGGTATATCAAAACAAACTAGCTGCATCCATAGAACACCACGGAGAATCAGTGTACAACTTCCTGGTTCCGAGTGAAGGGATTTCCTTGCCTCAAATGTAACTCATTGTTGCCATTCATCAGAGTGGTTTCCTCCATAGCCTCAATAATTTTTAGGTTTATCAAGTCTGTTTCCATTTCAGCTTAGGACAGTTGAATTTATCATGACTAGCTTACTGACATCTTTACTGCTGCAGTTCTTCTGCTGGTGAACATGAATCATCAAGTCATTCAAGGAGAGACAAACAGCATGACAGGACTAAAAAGGTGGTTGTTTAAGAGTAATTGGTTATCATTAGATGGTTTGGTTGCCCCACTGTGTCATTTATTAACGTGCTCTTGGCCTTTTAGAAAAAGGATAAACAGAAAGGAAAGAGCCGTCGCCATAAACATCAGAAGCATATTGATAAAGAGGTAGGCCATTATCCTATCTGTAGCTTTCTTGCCTGCATATTAATATATGTTGTTTTCACTAGTTATTTAAGGGTTAGTTTTAATATCTGCAGTTTTGCCCGTGGTAATGGTTTATGCATCTTAGCAATTTTACTGGGCGTTTATAATTGTCACATTAAATTTTATTACATGAGGTGCTAATAGTAATTGCTGCCGTTTTCTGGAATGGCTCTTCGAAATTGGAGCTGGGGTCTGTGACATGATGGCTGGGCACTTGATTGGCTTGCCTGGATGTTGTTTCTGGCTCATGTTTGTCCTAACAATGGGAGTGGTATAGAAGCAGCAGCATGAGGGAAGTGGCAGCCCTGTGCAGCTTTCAAAGGTTCTTTCCTTGTACTTGGATACTTGGACTGGTTAAATTGCACTTCCATCTTTTTTTTTTTTAATATTAGAAACCTATGATATCCGTGTTATCCAGTTTCTACAGCATGACCAAGATGATGGCGTTCGTCGCAGTGCTGTGTCTGGTAAAAAGGTGAGTCTGTTAACATCGTCAACAAAACGATGAACCACAATTTTTAAATTGGCTTTTTCGCACGCACTGTGAAATATTTAAAAATTATCATTTTTCACTTTCAAATATTAAATATTATATATTGCACCCTAAATGTATCAAAAGTGTTGTAGTGTGACCCTTTTGTTAACTTCTATTTTTTTTTTTGTGGTCAAAAGTCAGTCTATTGACACTGACGAAAAAACTAACGGAATGCTAACAAAATGGTTTTATTTTAACACTTCTAATACATTGAGGTACAATGTGAGAAATTTAATATTTGAGTATGCAAAGTGAGAATCTTGAAAACTTTTAGGGTACAAAGTGCAATTTGCTATTTCTAAATAGATGGTGGTCATCTGCAGATTGGTCATGAATTTTCTTGTTCATTTGTAGATTCTGTTGAAGCTCGATAAATCAAAGGAGGATAAGTTGGCAGAAAATAAACGAACCGAATTGTTGAAATTCTTAAATGCTAGTTATGATTGACTATCCGGAGCTTGGGTCCAAGTTGTTATAGTATGGGAGTGAATGAGGGAATTGAGAGTTCTGCATCTATATCCCTAAGATGCAAGTTCCTCTTCGTAGAGTTGCATTCATACATTATGTTATTAGCCCGTGAAGTGTAAAAGACTTGTTAGTTGTAACCTTCAACATTTATGAGGAGTTTGATCAGGTTTTCGTATTTTTGTAGTAGAATTTCGGGTCTTGGTGTTTCTGAGTTGAATATTTTTTCTGTTGTCACCGATTTTTGCAATGAAGTTTATCATCATTATGTAACTTAAAACTTAGGTTGAACTATCTTATATACACACGCACACTAGTGGGCAACTCGTGCGATGTGTGAAATTTATTATCTTTTCATATTATAACCTTACTACTAAACCTTTCATGACTGTAATATCTCTGGATAATTTTTATTAGCATTAAAATAATATTCATTTACATTTTAAATAATAAAAAAATATGATTGAAAGTTTAAATTTTGAAGTAGTTTTTTTTTTTTAAATATTACATAACTCAAAGGAAGCTTAAAAGTTAAAATTTAAATGCATATTATTTTATAGATAAGTGTGGGATGAGTGGGTCTCATTGAAAAAATTTATAGAACTAACTTATTTAAATGGATAATAGACATTTGAGATGTAATTTTTTTGGGTTTCATTGCATTGCTCTTACAAAAAAATGTTGAGAATAGTTACAAAGGATAGATGTAATATTTTGATTGAAGTGAACTAATTAAATATTTTAAAATTCTAGTAAATTAACAATTAGGGAAGTCTTTTTAAGGACTCTTATCCCTAATTTGATTGTTTTATAGTATGGTAAGATATTAGCTAATGTATGTGCTTGAATGCACTAGATAGCAAAAAAAAAAAAAACGACTGCCAATTAGGTTTTCAAATATAGTAGCAAATAATTTTTGCCAAAAAAACTGTACTCAACAATTGATTAGTTTGAATAACATAGACTAGATTGTTCAAACATAAAATGAAAATAGAGATATATTGTAGGGTAAAATGCAAAAAATTCTCCTGCACTAAACCTCGATGTCACTTCACTACCCTCTATTTTTACGGGTTTCATTTAACCTTCTTCAACTTGTGAATAAATTGCAAATCTAACACAATTTATTTATTCTAACGGTGTGGTAATTATAAGCACTAATTAAGCGCATGCTATAACATAAATAATTTTGTCCTAAATTAAAAAATTAAATTACCAAATTTATCCTTCATCTTCCCCCTCTTTCTCTCTCCCCCGTTCTCTCCAGATTTGCTAATTCGTTTTTGAGCGATCAAATGACTTGCATTCTCAAATCTAAGGTCATTTTTGAAGTCTTTGACTCGAAATTAGTTAGATCCAACCTCCCTTTTGTAGGTTTAACAAGTTTTTCAAAGTTTTGATTTTTAAGTTTTCAAACCCTAGTGGGTTACTTCGTCACACACACCCACCCCTCGGCCATGGCTTCCAAGTACTCCAATACACTGTACTATAAGCCCATAATACAACACAAGCCTCAATTGTGGAAGAAAGGATCGTTTGCTATGTAACTTATTTGAAAATTCAATTATTTAAACTTCAAACACAAATTTGAGAACAAACACAACATGAAACTTAAATCTAATCAGACCAATGAAATCTTCATGGAAAAATAACCCTAACCAGGTCGTTTGCTAGTTGTAGGTTTTATTTTTTAAAAATTAAGGTTTTACAATGATGATATCACAAAAAAAATTCGATTGCAATCAGAGGTAATTTAGTCTTTTTGTATAAACTATTACCTTTGTTAAGATTTACAATTTGTTTACAAGTTGGAAGAGGTTAAGTGAAACCCGTAAAAATAGAAGGGGTGAAGTGAGATCGAAACTTAAAACAGATGGTTTTTTGCATTTTACCCTATATTGTAGTTGCATAAAAAATCCTTATGAAATAAACAAAAAGTGAAACATTAGTTGAATATGACAAAAAAGATCAATTTACTCTATAAAACTTAAATATCTAACTCCACTACATATAATTTACCACTTTTGATTCAACATTAACTCTGAGAAATCTTTCTTGTGATAACAAACATGTATTGAACCCTGAAGTAGTAACGTAGTTGCATTTCTGCCAAAAACATCAATTTAAAAATTAGAAACTTGTCTGCGGATACATTTTTTAGAAATTATTTGGCTCTGAGTACTCTAGTCAGACTTATACTTTATTAAGTACTCTTTTTCATCAAATAATTGTCATTAAGTATATATTTCAATTTTTTTTTGTATTATCTAATTATCCTTACTATAAATACTACCTACTTGATTACAAGTTTCTATGTTTACAAATATCTAAATATTAAATTTGAGACTTTCAATATTCTTTGGTTATCTTCCATTAATACTGTGTACCTGATTTGCAGTTTCTATACTTTCAAATTTCTAAATATTAGATTTAAGACTTTCAATATTCTTTAGATGTTATCTAACGTTTGAATTTTGAAATTTAAACAAAATTAATATTCCATTATCATCTCCTCCCTCTCTCTATTTTTCTCCCTGTTTTCTCCTTTGAACTCATTTTTTCTTCCCTGCATATTCAAGGTACTATTATTTTCTCTCTATTGAAGAAGTACAGAAAGGAGAATTCAAACGAAATTAATATTCCATTATCATTTCCCACTATCTCTCCCCTATTCTCTCTCTCACTCTCACATATTTTCATTCTCAAATTCGTTCTCTCTCCCTTGCGAATTCAAGGCACCGTTATTCTATCTCTCCCCCCTATTTTTTTTTCTATTGAAGAAATACGAAAAGGTGGCATTGGGCGTACACTTCTCACTCTCAACAGTGCCTAATCAAGAGACTATGGTTCCGATGGAGAAGAGGAAGAATCGAACGGTTGAACTGGTTGCTTTGAGTGGTGGAGCTCTCGCTTTGGCGGTGTTATTGAATAAGGTTTTCTTCTCGGTGAGGGTTCCGATTACGCTCGTGCTGACACCTCCGAACTAGGTTTTTTTTTCGAAAATACTTTGGAGGTAAATACTTTTTTGAAAAATATTTTGATAATTCTCGTCTTAATAATTGTATTTGTTTGGTTTGATCCATTTTCTTTTTATTTTGAAATTTCATTAGATTGTCTAAATAAAAGATTTTGAACTATCAATTGAATTTGTTCTTTGGACATTGAATTTTTTGTGTTTGAGTAACCTAATTTTTTTTAGTTGGCCATTGTTGATTTCTTGGATTAGAATTTTAAAGACTCTTGGTTCGAAAATCATAATTCAATTCGATTTATTCTATTCCAAATCATCCAAATTATTGTTTACAAAACGATGAGTACATGAAGAATATGCTCAAACTATATTTCAAATCCCGACTCTTGGTCGTCTAGACTTGTTAGTGGACAAAGCTGAGATATTGTTGCCATCATCTAAGAAACAGCCTGACAGACCAAAGAAGTATAGAATAAGGTCACATGGTGAACTTTTTAGGCGAATTCAATGTGGTCATTGTAGGCGAATTCAATGTGGTCATGGAGCCACAGCAAGAAAATTTGAGCTTTTGTGATTGAATCAATATTTGAAATTAATGATATTTCACTGCACATTTTCTTTTTATTCATGTAATTTTTTTTACACCATAAATAGCACAATCCAAATTGAGCATGATATCAAAGAGTGATATCAAAGAAAGACACCAAAGAGTGACATCAAAGTGTGGTTGCATATAGTGATATTTTGTACATCACAGTTCTAAACAAGAGTGACAACAGAGTGACATTCTAGTGTAGCAATATATAGTGACAAGTAAAGAGTGACAACAAAGAGTGACTTCTGTCAACTTTTCTTGCACTTTGTGAAGACATTAGAACTAATACAATCATAAAAAAAAAGTATTCATTGAATTCATAGATTTGATACTTAGTATGAATACTAAGAGTGATACCAAAGAGGTACAACTGCTTCAAAATCAAGTTGTAGTTCAAACTCACAAATAATACCTTAAATTGCATTTCAAAATTTTTTAACACAAAGTTCAGATATATGCAATAAATTCTAAATCACCTGTATTCATATTTTGTCTTTAATTTTTTCCGTTTGTTGACATCGTCTTCAGTCCAAGACTTGTGATGATTTAGGAACATTCTCATCATTTATGTTCGAAAAACTCTCTTGTACTGCTGTCAACTTTTCTTCTATATCTTAACCAAGTGCAATCTTCCTCATTATGTAGCAAACAAAGAGACCATATTCGGCCCTACATTAGATGTTTAGTTAATATTATGTGTATAATAGTGAATCCACACAAATCACAAAAAAATAATATAGCATCGTGTCTTCAGAGAATAGTACAATGTTTATTTGTAGTTTGTAGTGAACAAGCCAAGAAATTGGATAGTCATATTATGAAAACTAGTAATTTGTTATGCAATTTTGTTGTGGTCAAGCCACAATTTAGGTTGTCACTCTATAGTGTCTTACTATAGATACAAACCAAGAGTTGAAGAGAGTCACTGAGGTGTCACTCTATGAAAACAAATAATTTTTTTATTAAGTTTCTTGTGGCCAAGCAAAGAATTTAGGTAAGCTGTCTATGTTAGGTCCCGCCGAATAAAGAAGCCTAATCACAAGTACGTGGGTGTGTTAGGCTAGCTGGTTAGTTAAGTTGTTGTAGATTATTTGCAAGTATCATGTTTGTGGTTAGAGTAGTTATAGATTGTGGGTAGTTTTGTTAGGGTTAGTGGCTTGTCTTTAGGAAGTTGTTAACCGATGTTTTTATAAATCTAGCATGAGTCTGAATAAAGTATCAGAGTTTCAAATCCAAGTAAACTGCCTGTGGTGTATTTCGGCCCAAACTGGAACTTTTATCCTCTCTCCCAATTACTGTCTTATCATTTGGTATCAGAGCCAATGACGACCAACAAGGAAAGAATAGAGAAGTTGGAAAGAAATTTTTTGGAAGTTCATGAAGGCGTATGTAATTTGGAAGCTTCAACGAGGGTCGACGTTGAGGAAAATTCTGCACGTCTCCAACTGGTTGACAATGCCCTAAAGGAGATAATAGGAAAGAATTCTGGCATGCACATTCCAGTTGATCGCTCCTCTTTATCGGCACCTCCTGTGGGGTCGTTGAGCCATCCTATAGTTGTTCAAGAATCCACTAGTCAATGTGTCACTCCTTGCTATTTGAAGATGGATTTTCCATATTATTCTAGTATAGGGTCACCTAATTCTTCGAATACCCGGGTATGTTGGATGATCAGCGAGTGACCCTAGCCTCCTTCCATCTAGAAGGCGAGGTTTACTAGTGGTTACAATGGCTGTAGTGAGCTTATCAACAAGAAGGATCAATCATCACATGGGATGTCTTTGAAAAAGAGTTGTTAGCACGTTTTGGACCCACTGAGTACGAGAATTTTGATGAGGCGCTATGGAAAATAAAACAAACAGGAACGCTTAGGGAGTATCAGCGAGAATTTAAAAAGTTAGCCAATCAGACTGTGGGCTGACCGCAAAGAGCTTTAAGTGGTACATTTCTTGGAGGGCTTAAAGAGGAAATTTCAGAGGAGGTTCGGATGTTTAAATCGAGAACTTTGCAGGAAACTATTGATTTGGTTCGAATGAGGGATGAACGTATTTCCCGATGAACTTACTGACAGTTTTCCCCACCCATGGTGCTCCCTACTAATCTCCATGTTGTTGCTTCTAATGTGAAGAAAATTTCATGGGACAAGATGCAGCGTCGACATGAGAAAGGTTTATGTTTTTATTGTGATGAGCGCTTTACTTTGGGGCATAAGTGTTGGACTTCTCACCTACTCTTGATTAAGAATATTCATGAAGAAGGGAAGGGATTTTTGGAAGAAGACCATCTGTGGACCAAGGATGATATGCAGACGGATGTAATTTCAGAGATATCGTTGCATGCCTTATCTAGATGGAATGCTCTGCGTGCTATGCGCATAGTTGGGCACATCTTCAAGAAACCAGTTTTGGTAATAATTGATAGTGGTTCAACACACAATTTTATCAATGATAAGGTTATTGAATAGTTGCACCTTTCTATCTCTTCTACTGTAGCGTTTTCGGTGATGGTGGCTTGTGGAGACTAGCTCCCTTGTAATGAAAAATATGATAATGTTGAGATGAAGATTCAAGGTTTTACTTTCTGTACCACTTTGTACTCTTTTCCCTTGATGGGATCAGGTGTTGTCCTCGGCATCCAATGGCTAGACCAATCTGGACCAGTTTTATGCGAATGGAAAAGCTTACAATGAAGTTCTTGATGCAAGATTATGTTTATTTCCTTAAGGGACAATCTGTGTCTCCAGCACAACCTGTTTCTATTCACATGTTGGAACACACAGTACGCAAAGGAGCAGAAATTTTTGCTTTGCAGGTCAACAATGATGTCAATACGCCACCCATTGATACACCTGTCGACGTCCAAGCTATATTAGATGAATTTGCCATTGTATTCGTAGAACCTCGGGGGTTGCCTCCCACTCGAGAATTTGATCATTGCATTCATTTAAAGGATGGTACAAATCTAGTTAATGTCCGGCCTTACAGGTATCCACACTTCCAAAAAAATGAAATTGAACGCCAAGTTGATGTGGTGCTTGAGTCTGGTATTATCAGAACAAGTAACAGTCCATTTTCTTCGCCAGTATTGCTAGTTAAGAAAAAAGATGGAACCTGGAGGTTTTGTACAGATTATAGAGCTTTTGAACTCCATCACCATTAAGGATTGTTTCCCAATCCCTACGGTCGATGATATGATTGATGACCTTTATGGTGCAAAATTTTTCACAAAGTTGGACCTCCAATCTAGTTACCATCAAGTTCGAGTTCATCTCGACAATGTGTACAAAGTAGCCTTTTAGACTCACAACGGACACTATGAATATTTGGTTATGCCTTTTGGATTGTGCAATACACCTTCAACTTTCCAATCGACCTTGAATTCCCTTTTTTGGCCATATCTTTGATGGTTCATCTTGGTTTTCTTTGACGACGTCCTTATTTATAGTGTCACTTGGGAGTCTCATCTTGAGCACTTGCGTTTGATTCTTGAAATTTTATCTTGACATCAACTCTTTGCAAGGCCCTCAAAGTGTGTATTTGGTGAGACCAAAATTTCATACCTTAGGCATATCATTTCTACCCATGGCGTCAAGGTAGATTCTACCAAAATTGCAGCAGTACAATCTTGGCTAGTTCCAGGAACCATTACAGAGTTAAGAGCTTTCCTGGGCTTAACTGGTTATTTCAGGAAATTTGTGAAGAATTATGGAATTTTGGCTGCACCTCTTACTGCTCTACTAAAAAAAGGACAATTTGCGTGGAATTCACAAGAGGCCAAAGCCTTCAATTCCCTCAAGCATGTCCTGATGTCTACACCTGTCCTTGCTTTGCCCAATTTTTTAGAGACTTTTGTCCTAAAGATGAATGCGTCGGACAAAGGCATCAGAGTTGTTCTTTCTGAACAAGGGATGCCTTTGGCTTTCATGAGCAAAGCCTTTTGCCCAACCAAACAAACTTGGTCGACATATGCAAAGGAAATGTTAGCAATTTTGGAAACAATCCAAGTTTGGCGTCCATATCTTCTGGGTCGACGATTTCAGATTCAGACTGACCAATGAAGATTAAAATATCTCTTGGAGCAGCGAGTGGTCACACCCGAACAACAGAAATGGGTGTCCAAGCTCCTCGGTTTTGAATATGACATTGCATATAAAACGTGAAAGGAAAATTCTGCTGCTGATTCGTTATCAAGGCATCTAAGTCTGCCTTCATATCTAGGAATCTATTGCCCTCAATTCATGATCCTTGATGATCTAAAATATGCTAATCTGACATAACCTTACTTTTAAGAGCTCCATAATTGTGTGCAAACAAATGTTGCTAGTGTGCTAGAATTTGTATCAAGGATGGACTCTCAAGTCGATTCTCTTGGTTGAGTTCCATGACTCCAAGTTTGGAAGACATTCGGGCATTCTTAGAACTTTCACGTCTTTTGCAATCATTTTATTGGCATTCCATGAAAAAAGAAGTTCAATCCTATGTTGCGGCATGTGATGTTTGCCAAAGGAATAAAAATGAGACTTGAACAGTGGCTGGTCTTTTACAGCCTTTGCCAATTCTTAAACAAGTTTGGGAAGACATCTCTCTTGATTTCATCGATGGCTTACCTCCTTCGGGCAACACCTCGATTATGGTTGTGGTTGATCGCTTAACAAAGTATGCTCACTTCATCCCGTTAACGTACCCATACATTGCTAAGAAAGTTGCAGAGGTTTTTGTAGAGGTCATTGTACAACTTCATGGCTTGCCTCATTCGATTGTATGTGATCGAGACCCAATATTTATTAGCAATTTCTTGCAGGAAATTTTCATGTTACAGGGGACAAAGCTTAAAATGAGCACATTGTATCATCCTCAAATTGACGACCAAATAGAGGTTTTCAATCGATGCCTTGAACAGTACCTCAAATGCTTCACTAGTTAGCAACCCAAGCAATGGATCCATTTTTTGGCATGGGCAGAATTCTGGTATAATACTAGGTCCCGCGGAATGAAGAAGCCTAATCACAAGTACATGGGTGTGTGAGACTAGCTGGTTAGTTAAGTTGTTGCAGATTATTTGCACATATCATGTTTGTGGTTAGAGTAGTTATAGATTGTGGGTAATTTTGTTAGGGGTAGTGGCTTGTCTTTAGTAAAATTGTTAACTGATGTTTGTATAAATCTAGCATGAGTCTGAATAAAGTATCAAAGTTTCAAACCTAAGTAAACTGCTCGTGGTGTGTTCTGGCCCAAACTGGAACTTTTCTCCTCTCCCAATTATTGTCTTATTACTTATTAGTCTTGATACGGATACAATTCATTTTTTGATGTGGTTTGTGGTGGCCACACCATGATATTAGGTTGTCACTCTATGGTGTCTCTTTATGGTCACAAGTCAAGAGTTTAAGACAGTCACAATAAGGCGTCACTCTATGGGGACAAGTAATATTTTAATAAAGTTTTTTATGGCCAAGTAATGAATTTCGGTAGTCAATACATGGTTTCTCGATATGGATATAATTCATTTTTGATGTGGTTTGTGGTGGCCTAGCCATGATATTAGGTTGTGACTCTGTGGTCACAAGTTCACTACTACCTATTGTAGAATGAAGTGGCTAATCCATGGTTGTATAATAGAGTGACATTATAGAGTGAAGGTAGCCATAATCATTTTTTTATGTAGTTTGTTCGGGTCAAGACAATAGTTTAAGTAGTCACTGTATGGTGTCACTCTATTGCAATCATTAAGTTTTTAATTAAGTTTCTAATTGCCAATGTCCTAATGTAGGCAGTCAATCCATGGTTTAAATGGAGTACCTAACAATGCATCTTCATAGACCAAGAACTACGAGATCACCCCTTTCATTCTGGGGGGTGACAGAGGGATTGTACGATTTGAGCCCTTTTTTCCATGTTTTTTCAGGAGGTCTGGAGAAAGTTGCAATCAATAGGATTTCCCTAATCCTCCCTTCAAAGAAGGTGAAATTGTTTTTCCTTTCCGTAGGGACCAGGAGATTGGATCTAGAAGTAAGAACAGTGCTTGGTATAAATAACTCACTTCTTGGTCTTCAACCCTTTTAATCACTACAAACGCCCCTGATCAGTACAATGGGATATGTCTATTTATATATCTCTTGACTTGAAATGGGAGCAAGTTTGAAAAAGGATCTTACTTGGATACAATTCATTTTTGATGCAGTTTGTTATGTCCAAGCTATGATATTTAAGCTATCACTTTATAGTGTCACTCCATGGTCATGGGTAATTTTTTTCCCCTAGACAAGCAATAGTCACATTATCACTTGCTGAGACTTTCTAAGGGGTCTCTCTATGATCGCATGTTAGCTGCTACCTGTTTTTGAATGAAGATTCTACCCAATGGTTGTATGATAGAGTGACACTATAGAGTGATGCCAATCATAATCACAATGTATTCAATGCAAAAATTAGTAGATACGTTTTTTTATAACAATTTTAAATAATTAATCAATAAATTTCCTCCAAAACTTGAAATTTCAAATACTCAATAGAGAGACACCATATTGTAACACTATACATAAAGTTAGTGTAACTTCTAAAAATTTGCATCAAAATGTTAAATACATTCATCATTCATGAATTATAAAGAACTTCTTAATTTCAAACTCAAATTAGGGTATAGTATTTTTGTTTTGGGATTTTTGAAGAAAAAAAAATTAAAATAGTTGGAATTCTTACCATTGAAGATGACCCAATGAAGCCAAAGTAAAGCTTCCCAAAGATTTTGGCGACGGATTCTAAAAAACCCAAATCAACGTCTATGTACTTTGCCTTCCTCCTCCAGTAGAACAATTATAGTGGGCACTTCTACCGATAGAACGTCGAGTATCTACCGGTAGAAGAATTCCAATGGACACTTCTACTGGTAGAACGTTGATTACCTACCAGTAGAACGTTGCTTTTTCTACCGGTAGGTGTCCTGATTTGATTTGATTGGCACTTGTTGAGTAATATACTGATATCTCATTTTTGAAAAATCATAGGAGCATAGCAAGTGTGTTACATTCTGGAAAATGATCTTTAGACCATTTGTGATTATTATTTGAGCCTTGACCATTTCTTCTGAAAAATTAAAGTTTTTTCTATAAGCCATCTTTTCAAACTGAGCCACTGGAAAATATAGATTCATACCTATGGCTATCTAATATTTTTGCACCCTCTCTTAAAGGCAGATTATATGGAGGAAGGTAAAAAAAAAAAAAAGTGTATGGTTTGAAGAATTGGAAAGAAAAGGTTGACTGGGAAATGAAATTAAAATGAATAAAAAGCAAAAAGAAATGATGTATTCAAGTTGAATTGTTGAAATCAAAAAGTGTGAAAAGAAAAAAGAAAAAAGAAAAAGGAAAGAAAATGAGGAAGGGTTAGTGTGTTCATATAAAGTCAAAAAGAAAGGTAAAGGGAGAAAATGTGTAAATTTACCAAATAAAATTGGATAGCCCTTTTAAACTGCTATTATCTGTCTTTTCATAAACCACTATCCTTGGCCATATTATAACCAAAAATAAAGTCTTTATTTATTCCAAAATATACTCAAGTG